ATTGTTCTATACTCACACGCCACGATTGCGCACAATAGTTTTGTCCTCACGGAATACAAAAGGGTGGAATTTTAGGGCTATTGTGTTCCTTAAAAATCAATAAAGTGAATGACGTGAGTGTGTTTTGAATATATTTTATCGGATTACCACCGTGTCAACTCACCATTTTGTCATTACTTTAAAAGTCGTTACATGATTTTTAAAGGGAGAGCATTTGATATACAAGGATGTCTTTATTAAATAATTCTATTTGTTCTGTTGGCTGTTGTATAACTATTAAAAATAAAACAAAAAATAGAAATAAAAATATTATTAAAAAAAGATAAAAATACTGATGATGAAATATTCTTAAAAAAAAAAAAAAGTTTCCTCTTTAGACCAAATGGTATATGAAGTGGTAGTGTGGTCAGCATTATACGCAGCCGCCTTTACTTTTCCTAACGTGAATTGGGACTCATCAGAGCTGGGTGAACTCAGGGCTACTATCTTGAAACAGGATTTGAACTCTAGACTTTCGGATTAGTGGTCTAACTGTACCATCACTTTATAAAAGATAATCCTGAAATGGGCAAGGAACTAACCTAACACGACCTTACAGCAATAGCGCAGACTATGGTCTAATTATTCTAAAGACGCTAATTATTCAATGTCTTCATTAATGATTGATCAAGTCACTATTATGTTTCCTCAAGAAGAAAGAACACGCCGACCACAAAAAAAAAAATAAATAAATAATAATAATCTTTTTTCAAACAGCTTTTATCAAATCAAAATATAACAACTCTACGAAGCAGACAAGCCAAGAGAAGACAACCACAACACATAAAGCACTCACACTAAACTTAATTAACACGACTCGGACTAGACAAAGAACACAGGACAAAAAAAAAAAAACCAGACTGGTAGTAACGTTTATATATATAGATCAACTGGATGAGAAATAAGGAATATAGTTTAAGCCTTGTTAAATAAAATAATTATTTTAAAAAATTTTTTTAAAGATAATTGATTAATATACTCTTTGATGTCTAGCCCTGGTCACTATTTTAGAAAGAAATCGTCACTAGGAAAACTTAAAAAGTTGTGATTACACCATAGCCTCAACTATGTACATAAACGTACAATAAACCAACAACCTAGCACTTAAATATAATACTTCTAATATACTAAATATTAAAAAACCACCAATCAAACACCCACAACAAATAAAGCAATCACACTTAACATAATTAACACGACTAGACGAAAAACAGAGGACAAAAACAGACTGATAGTAAATAGTAACGGCTATTTATAGATCAACTGTATGAGAAATATGGCCTATTGTAAAGCAAGCCTAGCTGAATAAATTATTTTTAATGACTATTTAAACATATCTTTCAAAAAAAATCGATACTCTATTGTTTGTCGTCGCGGCCGTAAAGGAGCGTCACGGAAGACAATAGGAGGAGGGGAACACCTGCTCCAGCTGGAGTATTTTACTATATAACATGTCTGCTCTGGCTGCTCAATATTTTACTATATAAACATGTCTGCACAAATTCGGTCCAAAAGGGACCTACTATACTACTCTGGGTGGGGCGTATATCAACAGGCGACTTGATCCAGTTTTTTTGGGCGGGGGGGGGGGGGGGGGGGGGTTAATGAATAGGCATTATATAAAAACGTAAATCTATAAAAACAAACAAGTTTCTATTTTAAGATATTATAGTTCAGCATATGTCACTCTTTAAAGTATTTTAGTCAGTAAAAGTGAGCAGGTGCATTTCGGGGTCAATGACAGTAGTTCTTAACGTTTTTTGGAGGCACCAAACCCCACCAGTTTCTTACCGAACTAATTGTTCTATTGTCAGCACTGACGAAATACGACGAAATAATATCGTCAATAGTAGGAGACGGTTGACCGTGAACAAACGCATCCAGACAAAACGGCCCCGTGAAATAAACGCGATCAAAATGGATGGTGACAAAAGATCCCGTTATATAGACTGCCTTAAGCGCCACCGATTAAATAGTCTCCCGTCGATATGACTCCCTAAAAAAAAGTCTCTCGGTTAAACAATAGGACTCATTGCAGTAGGACCCCGTTATCACTGCAAAGTCGGCTTAGACAATACTTTAAAGTAATAAAATATATGTAGCTCTTGGTCTTGTCAGAAAAAGAAAATTGTTAATAACACTACTACAGTTGTGAAGTCTTTACAAACGAACCTGTGGTGGGCACTTCTAACTCAGGTCGACGCTTGTGTAATGGGCATGAGGGAGACGTCAAGACGTCAACCTGACACATTTAATAGGTCAGAGTTTATTTCATGCATCTCTACGGGGGGGGGGGGGGGCATCATGCACGGCCACAACGAAATATAATGTGTAGAAAATAGATATACATAAACTGGTATCCACCCCTCTCTTCCCCCTCCCCCGAAAGTTGCAAGCCTATTTGTCGGGAGCTTGTATGGCGGGCTTCATTTGTCGCTAGCCCTTTTGATGTCGCCTTTTTGACGGGGCTTTTTTTTTTTTTTACGGAGCCGTTTGGTCACATGGTCGTTTTCAGTTTCAGCGTTAAATTTTGACGCCGCAAATAGGCCTATACGACTAGACTAGTTAAGGGATAGGGGAAGCTACTCGATTTACTAATTTAGTAGATTCTAGATCTGTTTTTAAAGTAGCCTTTCTTGGTAAACAAAAGTATTGAAAGTTAAAAACTGTCCTTCGCCTTAGAAATGTTTTGGAATTGCTAGTTATAAGTTAGTAGTTAGTCTAACTAATTAGGCCTAATTAGGGCCTAGGCAACATTTATCTAGACTAGTGGAATAAATGGATGGATGAGATCTAGAGTCAGTTTACTCAGTGTGTTGTGTTGTTATAGTAGTTAAATAAAGAAAGGGTAATCTATCGTTTTAGGTACGTAAAATCGCCCGCGGCTAGTTACATCTAGATCTAGATCTAGAGTCTAGTACTGTACGAAAAAGTTACGTCATTGTCATGGCTTTAATAGATGTATACTGTGATGTATTTGTGTCAAATATTATAGGTAAATGAATAATAAACCTAAATTGTCCTAAATTCTAAATCAATGGCTAAACAGATCAATATTATATATATATATATATTATATATATATAGATAGTTGAATATGTGCCAGAAATTAACTTTAAACAGCAGTGTTTGCGAGCAAGATTTGCTGTAGAATAGTTAACTATAGTACAGTGTCAGTAGGGATGGACAGTAGGTGACACCTTCAGAGAGACTGACTGCTCTGACAGGACAATAGTAGTTTAGTAGTCTTTATCTTTATACTGACCAGTAGTTAGGTATTTAGCACCAGGGGGGATAATTTGTTGGGTCACAAGCTTTAGTCCATTGTCCCATGGGAATAGCTACGGGTTAGAACAGGGTTATAAATACAAGCTGGTTAGTTAGTCCCGCTGTCTCGCACAAGCGCTCCTGATGAATTAATAAACAGCACAAACTAAGAAGGTCTCCTGTCCCGTTGATTATTTTACTGTAGCTGACTCGGGTAGAATTATTAAATACCCCTAGACAACGACGGCCTTATTGGCTAGTGCCAGAGCCAGTGTCAGCAATGTATTCGGCCGGCGACTAGGCAACCGGACGGCAACATCGTAGTCCGGTCTGCAACAAATATTACTTTCAATCAACCCTTTAATATTTAATTGTGTAGTGCTTTACAAAAATGAACATTCTCTCTTTATTATCTTATTAGATAACTTATTCCTTTCCAACTATTATTACTAAACTAAGTCCTTTGTAATAAAATTATAACTTCAGCGCACACCTCACTACCATCTTGATTAAACTAGAAACAGAGACTAAGTAAAAGTAAATAGTTAGAGGTAGGTTATAGGTAGTGTTTGTTCTGGCTGAGGCAATGCCAACATTAATAGACTGACTAAACAACTTCGCAATGCTAAACACTGCCAAATGATCCACTGTAAGTCCTGTGGTGAGGGAGTTGGCTGCATTTATTTAGATGATGAGCTACTAGCGAAGGGCAGGGTCCAAATAATGTGACTAAGAATAATTTTAATTTTTTTTATTACTTACAATAATTTAATTTTACAATACAGTTGGTGGTGTGCATTTTGGCTTTATGTCGTGGGTCTTCCTTTTTTTCTTTCTACATTTTATTATATTGATGCCAATCATAAAGGAGATGGCCTATAATTTACATCCATGATTCCACCTAGTCTGGTTTTATCTCATTACATTTTACTTAGAGACTGGGTTTGCTTCAGGGATCTCTGCAGGGTGGGTGGGGAGGGGGGGGGGGGCCTACCTTGATGGACATCCACCTCCAAATAACATAGAAAAAATATATAATTTTGTGACTACTAAGGCTAATTGCAATGTAATATAATGTTACCAGTAGCATAGAAGAGGAGATAACTGTTAACATCTTTGTAAGGTGATTAGGCTGGATTGGGCCAGAAACAACTACTACACTGTTGTTTTTATTACAGTTTTTTATTTTGTAAGATTAGTTTGGTGTGAGCAAGAAGTAACCCAGTATCATAGCGACATCCAGGTATACCAGTGTAGATTGGCAATAAATCATGTTGGTAATTATTTGTGTAGTAGGTTGGCATAAAGAAAACCCATTGTTAATGGAAGTATGCACTGATTGAAAAAAAATGTTATATACTGTGATATAGCCGAGTCATAGGTCTATGTATTTATATGATCATAGAAGTATCCAAAGATTACCCTAATCTAAACTGTATTATTTATGACCTACATTCCTAAAATCTTTTTATATCAATTAGCCTACCCTTTTACTATTGTGTTGCTTTTATTGATTTGGACATAATAATTATTCACTTATGAAAAATCTGCAGATTTTTAGTAATAACAGTTTTCTATGCTAGACCATGTTCTCATAATTAATTATTTTTACTAACCATTTGATATAGGCTGCTGAATTACTAACTGGTGGATTTTTTTAAAACATTATTTGTTTACAGGAAAAAAAACTGTTTTAAATTTTATTATAGAAATTGTTGACATTGAAGAAAAAATAGCAACATGTTTAATTTGTTAATAAAATGCACAAATATGAAAGTCTGAAAATGGCAGAGAGACAAGCTATGTGGTCAGATTCTGTAGGAGGGGGTGATGTTAATAAAACAACCCATCCATCAACTGATATTGATACATCAAGCATAAGGTATCAGTGATATTTACATGTTAATCTAATTTATTGTGATGCAAGAAAATAAAAATCTTTTGCTTACATTTCAAAAATTAATTTTGAACAGTTTAAATTTTTTATTTTGTTTTATTTTAACCTGTATAAACTATTAAGTGTGAAACTTTTTAAAAAACTGTCTTTAAGTTTCCCAAAAGATGAGTTAAGAGGAGAATCACAAGATGACAACACAAGCAATGCTAGTATGACAGATGTAGACAACAGTATGGAAAGCTCTGATCACTTCATAGGCTTAGGTAATTTTTCTAAAAGCTTCTAATTTAAAATTTTCAAAGTGTTTTCAGAATTATTAGCCACAACGTGTAATTTTAGATGCTTTAATTCGTTTATTGTTTTTAATAGGAAAAATAGTGCTATTGGTAAGGAATTCATTTGATATTTTTTATGTTTTTTTGTTTTAATTTCCACACTTTTTTTAGATTTTGTTTTGCAGAAAGATTTTGATATCTTAAAAAAAAAACTTTTATTCAATTTTAGGAATTATTACTGATTTTAAAAGTATTGCCTTTTTTAATTTTTCTGTACTAAAGGATTAAAGCCTCACTTGTAACTTAATTCATTGTGCCTAATTGTATTTGAAATAGGTCTAATTATTAAGTAGGCCTACTATTTTAAGTTATTACATTAGTCTTGTGGTTGTTATTTCAATCCTACCTTGTATACAATTTAGCTTTGGCTCTATGATTGTTATATCTATGTTAATTAAAACAGATGATGACACAATCATGCAAGCAGTTGTCTATATTGAAGATGCTTATAAAGTAAGTTTTATTTTTATTTTCTTCATAAAAATTTTTTTGCATTTTTCTACTTTTTTATCCTAAATCTTAAATCAGAGTTCTAGAACTAGCATTGAGCTATCAGCTGAAAAAGATAAAGTAACTCTTCAATCTTTGGGGAAAATAAATTAAAGTTCACCTCATCCATATTTGCTTTCACTAACATCAAAGCTGGCAGGGCTTATTGATGTCCTTCTGGCACATAACTGATAATGGAACAAGAGATTTTTTTTGGTTAGTGATCAGTTCCAGTTCCCACAATAGGTCAGGTACACAACTCATGCATGCCACCACTCCTGCACTGTAAGGAAACAACAATAATTTCTATTAACTTTCTGTTGTAGTACAGAACAATCGACCACAAAGTGGGACCCAAGCATCTCCAGATATACCGCAAGTATCAGTCATGGCCAGTCATTGTGTAAGTCTGTTGTTAAATAATGACTGTTAAGACAAACTATTATTTATACTGTTTATACTGTTAGATAGTTGTTTATTACAACAATTGCTAGTCACAAAACAGGGTTTTAAAATTAAATACCTGAAATTGTTATTCTGTGTGCAGTTTTTTTTCTCAAACTGATCAGCTCACTGTGGAATTATGACTTTCAGCAGCCGACTATCATTTTCAGCTTTTTTTAATTCATAAATTTTTAATGAATATGTATTGTACTTTTATTCATTGTTAATTTATTGGCAAAAAAAATATCATTTTTTTTTAGGTTTCGCTTCATTGTGATATTTCTCTTGCACATGCTGGCTTTTATTGAACATCCATCATCTCTCACATTGACCTCTGACCTGCGAACTAGAGGAACTAGGACATCTGTTCCTTGTTGGGTTACACAGTGCTTAGAATTTATCTGTTTATTTTTGCTACTAGCAGACAACTGTCTCAAGGTACATAACTCACATCACTAAGAAATCTTAAGTTAATATGAAATATAATTTCAGTATTTTAAGAGAGTTTGATTGCTGATTTTTTTTAAAATAACGCTCTATGTATTGAGGTAGTATGTGATTTAATGAAAATGTTCCATTTAGCATAATTAGGAATGGTCTCCAAGCAACTATTGATAATTTGAAGTTCCAAACAGATGTGTTAATAAATGTGCTGTTAAAAGTTAACTTGAATGAAACGCTAGTATTATAAATGTACAAACAATATGGAAATCATTGTAGAGATAAAATGTTAAACAAAATTTCTTACAGCCAATTTCAAATTTTTCCTAATAATTAACCACACATTTAAAATTAGGATCTGTTTTGTGGTAACATGAAGCACTTAGACAACAACAACAATCATATTCAGTTTCAACAAATGTCAGTTAGGGCCTATTTTATATTCATTTTCTGATTTAATGGTCAATTTCCATCCACTTAGTGTAATGTGCTCATTAGCACACAGAATAGTCAAATGCAAATTTTTAAAATTTCCTCATTTTATTTGGTCAAATAGAACATATAGTATGAGGATTAGATATTTGTTTGATTTACATTTTTTTAAAGTATTAATTAAAATAAATTTTAAAATCAAGTTAAAAAAATGAAATATACAGTTTTCTATCTTTGTCTTGTAATAGACATCTTAATCAACTTGTAATAGATATCTTAATCAAATTTTATGCATTTTATGTTTTCATCAACAGTTGACTTAAATTAGACTTGGGTAATTTTGTTTTTACTATATAGCATTTATGGTGCCTAATGTATATATGAGCTCATTAAATAGCTGCATGCTACATAATGACGCACAGGATAGTGAAACCAGGGTAGGGTAGATAACTCAGGAAAACCTTTATCTGTAGACATGGGTCTGTTCCTAATAAACTGCAAATGCTTTCATTGATGGTGAATTAATTTCAAATTAACTCCAATTTTAATTAGCAGTTAATCTTTTGACAAGAGATGAACTCTGCACTGCTCATTAATTAAAGCAGTGTCTACATAGTTGATGTAATAAAAAACAACTAACCAAATTCCATTTTAGAGTAGATGGGTACAAAATAATAAAACTAACTTCATTTTTAAATTTTTATCGTAAGTTTGATTCTAACAAACATCTTGATAAAGATACCCCTAATAAAACTTTTAACAATTGATTTTAAGAAACCTATACCATTTTATTTAATATACTTCTTCATAAAATATTTTTTAAATATAAGAAAGAAACATTCTGTTAAAATTACATGAAGACATGTACACTTGATCCTATATTGTTGAAATTGGTGAAATTTGTATTAAAAATTTACAATATACTACCAAGGAATTCTATCTAGCTATCATGTACACAGTTGATTTATAGAAACATGAATCCAATATCAATAATAATAATAATAACTTAAATTAATATCCTGGCCATATTTTTTTGTTTCAGTTTTATTTAGCTGGCCGGTACTACTTTCTGAGACAGAAATGGAACATGGCTGCCCTGTTTATTGTGTCTATTTCTTTCATCGACTGGACTGTGTCCTTTGGAATGCTGTGCCATGAGGTATTTCAGACTAAAAATCTGTTTTGTTTTGAATAACTTAACAGTTTTGCTAAAGATTCAAATTCCTAAAACTAATTCATGCCAGTTTAAACATGTTTTTTTTTTACGTTCATTACTAAATATTTTATATGTTGCTATAGAATTCTTTTAAAGTTGTTCATATTTTTCCCTAGCCTGTTAGGTTTCGTCGTCTGCTGCGGCCATTTTTTATTTTTCAAAATTCTTCATTGATGAAGAAAATTGTAAGATGTTTGAAAAGGACTCTACCCGAAGTTATGAGTTAAGTTGTTGATCATTTAAATTATTTTTTAGGTAAAGTCAAACTAGAGAGACAAAAAAAAAGGACATAAAAGATTAAAACTCCTGACATGACCCATTGACAGAACCCCCTTTTTCTCTCTCGATGGGATCTTTTGGCCCAAAAACTTCAAACCATTTTGTGTTAATTTAATTATTTTTATCTGTTTACAGTGTGTTGCTACTGTTGGCCTTACATATTATTGTATTTACTATGTTTGCTATGCTGCTGTTTCCTGTATATGAGGTATGCAATCACAAATTAGTTTTGAAAATGTTTTTGTTTTAAACTGATGAGTTAATTTAATCCAGAAATAATGTACTGGTGAAAGCTCAACAACAGAAAACTTTACTTATTTGAAAATACAAAGAAATATATATTATTTACTCTAGATAAAAGAGTATAACATTACCCAACCTTCTACATTCAATGGTTCAGCATCCACAGCATCACCTCCACCTGTAAGTTTCCAAATTTTAAATTGTCACGTTAATGTCAATATTTTTAATTAGCAGAACTATTTACCTAAAAATCTACAGGCTTGGGTCTTTTGATTGTCACAGAATGCAGCCAGATATTATGAGTTCTTGATTTAAATTGGGGAAAGTAAAGGAAGCTAGGTGTATATTCTGAGGTCAGGGAAGTAGATGAACTCTACTTCTTCTGCTCCATGGACCTTCTGGTCTTTAAGAATACTTTTTAATATTTTAAATAATCAGAAGTCATTTATAGAATTATGTCGGCCTATGTTTGTACCTGGCATATTCTCTGCTTAAATTATTTTACATGCATTTTTGTAAGAAACCTGGCATACTTTATTGATTATTTTCCTGTATGTAAAATGGGCAGTTAGTCAGATTATTGTGTTGTATGTGCAGGCTGATGAAGGCACTCGCTACTTTTACTCACTGCTGGAATCTCTTCTCAGCTTGTTAGTGCTTCTGACCACAGCCAATCATCCAGATGGTTTGCATTTTACTTTACTCTGCTAATGTAATACAATTTAAAAGCATAACTGATTTTTCACTATGGTTATGCTTTTAAGGAATAAACCATTTTATTTATTTTTTTCAGTAACACTTCCTGCTTACAGTAGGAATAGACTTGCATCCATTTTTTTCATATTGTACCTTCTAATTGGTAGGTGAATTTTGAACATAAAATGTTTTGTCTTTATTTTGGTCCAGAGGATTTAACCTCCTTATTGTTAAGGTGAATTTTTAAAGTCAATATAATGACTGTTTAATGCTTTCAGGTTTGTATTTTTTAATGAACATGCTGCTTGCAATTATCTACAACCAGTTTCGAGGATATTTCCTGGTGAGTATTTCAATCTTCATTGGTCATGTAGAAGAAGGTTATATTTCAACTCTTAATTTTATTTGCATTGCAATTTTTTTAATTTGATAGAATGCCATTTTTAATTATTTTAATTAGTAGAGCTTTAATAAATGGATTCAAATTAGTGTCTTTTGACCACACTCTGTATAATTTCAGAACTCAATGCAAAGTAGTCTCATTCGGAGGAGACTTGGTGTTCGTGCAGCCTTTGAAGTTTTGAGAAGAAAGCAATTTCCATCATTAGTTGGGTTCAGAGTATCCCAGAATTCTCTTAGGTACAGGAACTGATAGTATTTTTTTGTTTTGATTAGATTATATATGTGACTTGTTACCTATGTTGCAGTAAAATATTTCAATCAATATTTTCATCTGTAATTTAGTATTGGCATTGGCGGCATGGTTATCAAAACATTGGTAGACAAAAGCTTGCTTCCGCAGCATGTAAAAGACTCTATTATAGAAGTAAGTTTCATATTACAAATCAATTGTGTTCCTTTTAAAGACTGACTTCATTCAGAAATCATCTCATGTGAACAAGTTTCCCTCTAGCTTCTGAAGACAAGCCATATTTAATACTTTTCTTTTTAATTGTTGTCTAAAGTCAATCCATCAAAACTAATAGACATAATTTTGTTCTATTACCTATTGGATTGTTGACATAAAAAAAATGTATTCAAATATTTAATTGCTATTTAAATTCATAATACTAATCAGTAAAATTCAGTTAAAAATATTTTTTTTTAAAAAGCAGAAATAATTTTTGTTTTGTTTATTGGAAACTACACTATATTTAAATTTTCAGAAGTTGAAAGACAAAGAAAACCACATTTTTTCCCCATCTCAGTTTCAAAATATATTTTATAGTATGGATGAGAATGTGGTTCATAAACAGGTGAATTTTTTTTTACTGATTGATGTAGAGTAGGCCTACTGATTATATGGATAGCTGTTGATTGAATCAAATTGCCCGGCATTAAAAAATGACATGATAAATTATTTTTTCAGCTTCCTGCAGTACGATGGTTTAATCAGCGGAAGTGGAGGGTGCTCCAACATATTTTCATCCATCGATTTTTCACCTACTTTGGCATGCTCATGGCTTTTATAAATCTCATTATCATTACAGTAAGATTTATAATTATTTTACAATTCAAAAATAAAAAATTCAATGTTTTGCCTGGGATATAGCATTTTTTTAATGGCAGTTTTGGTAGGTGCTGTATATTTTTATTCTATTCTAAAAATAATTATTCAAAGGATGTTTTTTTTTGGGTTGAAATAATTACTAATGGTAAATATATTTTTCTTAATTTTTTCTCTTCCTTATTCTTCATACTATACTATTATGCTAATTGAACATGAATCAATAAATTTTGTTTTCGAGAATTCAAACGTATGGCGAGTTTTAATTTCACATTCTTTGTCCAAACTTCAGACTCAATTTTTTAAAAGATACTTAAAGTTTAAGGTCTTAAAGTCATTCTCAGAATTGTATTTGTGTCATTAGAAAGTTACTCAAACTCTGTTTGCAAATGTTATCAGATTCAACTTGGAGCCAAGTATGACAGCTCATTTAGAGAAAATCATTCCACATTGCGAGTAAGTTGTTGCTTTTTGTATTTTTTCGCTTTTTATTCCATTTTTAATTCTCAACAAATTTATTTCTTTTATCACTATTTCCTTATGTACTTTGTGACAAACTTTTCAGATTGTCAACTTCAGTTTTGTTATGTACTACACACTGGAACAAGCTGTCAAGATCTGGGCCTTTGGTTGGCGCAGATATATTTCAGACAAAGGAAATATTTTTGATGCTGTCATTACTATAGCCCTAGTTGTGAGTTGTTTTTACATTTTTTAAGCTGACCTCTACTTAAAGACTGCCTTGTGTAATATCATGGGTCCTTTTTTATATAATATATATTTAAATTTCTTTTTAAGGATCTGTTAGCTGTCATTTCTATTTTCAAGTTATATTTTTTAACTGAACCTGTTTATCAACATTATTCTGGTTTATAGCACTGCTTTACACTGTATTGTGCCTCTTTAAAACAAATTAACTAATTCATTAAACTCAACAGATTGGAGAAACAGTTTCTGCAATTATGTATGGCATCCCATACTTTCCCAGGTTAGTGCACTCACTATTGATATGATCAAAGGTTCCATTCATTGGTTTTTTTGTTTAATTTAGTTGTATTTCTAGTTTGAATGCTTTTTATTTCCTGCTGTAATATTTTGTCAGCTCAAAGGAGTTGTCAGCAGGGAGTAGCAGTACCACAATGTGGAACATCTTGCGCATGGTAAACATTCTCATCATGGTGCGCATGTTTAAAGTCATCCCTCATGTCAATGTAAGTTGAAAAATTTCATTACTTAATTTACCCATAAAACTTGTAACTTAAATTTAGTTTTGCATTGTATTAGAAAATATATTTGCTGCAGTGATTTTTTTTTTTTATCTTTATAGTCAATGTCACTGGTTGTGACTGTCTTGATAGATATGCTGAGGAACATGATGGCATTTGCTGGAATTTTAATTGTAAGTCTGCGTATTTTATTTGCAATTTAATGTTTTTATTTTATCTGTCTTTTTCATTGGTCTAACAAACATCATGTTATATTTTTTCTGCCAGCAGTTGGTTAACTAATTTTTATTCTTTGTTCTTAATTGTAATATTGGACTTGATTTCCACCAACACAATTAAGTATAACATTCTAACATGTTATGCGCTATGCGCCATATGGCCTGATGACTTCAGCCTGCTTTTCTTTCTGGCTTTGCTGTGTAAATCCAAGAACAAAGCAGCAGTTGTTTGATTTTGGCATTTTCTTTCCTAGATATTTTATTGTCCCCAGCTACCAAGACTCATCTGTGAGTGTTAGTGATTTGGCTAATAATTCACTTGACTCTTTAAAAAATGCACACAACTTCAGACTCCTTTTCATCTTTGGTCTTGCTTGTAACATTGGAGATCTAAAAAACAAGTCTTTATTGTTTTTCCTCCCACCGAATAAAGTATTACGTGACAACATGCCATGTGGCATACAGCTTGTGACTTCAACTGTTTCTTTCCAAAGCCGTATTTCACCTAAGAGCACCTGCAAGGAAGGAGTTGTTTGATTTCAGATTTTTTTATTTCTATCTGGGTTTCTGTCACAAACTAAAGGCCTCATCTGTCCATTAGGGTTCATAGGACCTAACTCACTATTTTCAGGTTAAAAGGCATGCCCTTTAGCATCTAACCACATCATTCTGTTTAAAGAAAGCTAATTGTTTTAATTTCATGTTTCTATTAAACATATGTTTTTAATCTGTTGTATGATTTTGCATTTGTTTTATATTTATTCAGGCCATATTTTACGTCTTTGCTATATTTGGGATGCAGTTGTATGAAGGAGTAATCAAATATGAGCCAGATTTTGTTAACAAGTAAAACTTTTTGTTACCTGTTAATCACCTAATGTTGTAACACTTTAATTTATCTAAGAGCTAATAGAGACAAATTTTAAACACTAAATAACTTGTTTTCTTATATTTATTTTAAGTAAGCTGTTAATCTTAATGTATTTCAGAACTTTTCCATGTGGTACATATGAGCAGTTGAACTATTGGGCCAATAATTTTGACGATTTCTTTGTAAGTTCATTGTTTCTCAGATAACCTCTCTTCAAATAAATATCAGTTTATATCAGCAACTATGTATCTATTTTTATATCGCCAGTCCTCCATTATTATTCTGTGGGATGTAATGGTAGTCAACAATTGGATGATTTTTCTTCAAGTCTTTCGAGACAGAACATCTCCGTGAGTAATTAATTTGTTGTTGGCCTTTAAAAAATAGACTGAATTCTTAAAGTGATACTTTAGTAGAACACAGAATTAAAAGTGCAATTCATAAATACTCTTTACAGTTGGTCCTACCTGTACTTTGTGGCTTGGTGGCTGATATCTGTAATTATAGTCCTTAATCTGTTTACTGCTCTAATTATGGAGGTGTGTACATTTTTTAATTAGTTTTAGAAATAAAAAAGACTTCATAATTTAAAAAAGAAAGCTTTTATCGTTATAAACAATAACTTAAAAATTTAGTTTTTATGCTTATTAAAAATAGGTTTAGATTTTATTGTTTAATTTTTACAAAATGTTTACAGAATTTCATTATGAAATGGGATAGACGTCGACGTGTGATGCAGACAGAAGTTGATGGCCTATATACTTATGAACATTTGACAGTATCTGTACAGCTGAACAGTTTTCACAACATGTTCAAGTATTACAATTTTTCTCAATTTTAAAACCAAAATTCTTTGAACCCTGAATTTCTGTTTAAGAAATCATAATTTTAAGTTTTGTTGTGCTTAGAACTATTTACAATAATTTTTTTTTATTTCCTTTGACAGAGGTTTGCTTGAAGAGCCAAGTGAAAGTGAACTATTGTTGTTGCTAGACAAACATAAGTACCTTGACAGAAGCTCCTTATAAGGTTTCAATATTATAGCAGACATTACAGTTTCATTTCAAGAAAAGCAATGTTTTATCCAAGGAGAATATAGTTTTTCACATTTTAACATACTTAAGAACCAAAGAAAGAATTGTTTTGAAAAAAGGTTAAGCTGGTGCTAATTTGAAAAATAGTAATATGTGTACATATAATTATATATTATAATGTTATAACTATACATTCTTAATGAGATCAAAAATCTGAATTGACAATAGTTATTATTTTTGTAACTGTTTATAAAATATTTACTTCTGTTTTAAATATACTGGGTAATATAAAATGTTACCCCCTGTACTTTTGTGATGTAACAAAATTGACATTGTCTAACATCTTTGTTGATACTCAATATGTTGTATTGTTATTGTTCCAGGTAGGCTACTAGCTAGACAAACTTAATAAAACAAACCATTCAACACAAACCATTTTCAACACACCTTAAACCTCTTTTGCCTGTAAGGTTTCTTTAGCCTTTCTTAGAATTCTCCTTTTTTTGTAACACAGTAAGTGTCGAAATCATTCTGTTGTCTAGTTTAAATTAAAAATTTTAAGAAATTTGTTCCCACAAAAATCCACATTTTCTTTCAGGTTAGTGACCCTTCATGATAAAATGAGTTGCTATGTTTAGCTAGAGCTGAAAATATGAGTCTATCAAATTTTGGGATTTTGACTATTTCTAATTATCTTTTCACTCATGGGCACTCTTTGTGATGGGAGTTTTGAAAAAGTTTAACTTAGTATTTAAATTGTCTTTAGAAAGTTGCAAACTAGGCCTAACATGCCAGAGGGAATAATTTTAATTTTATCAAAAACAAATTGTGAATATAGTTAACTAAACTATCATTGAGTAACTATTTGTCCAACGCAATCAGCATCAAAAGTGTTTAAGGCTTTAGGGCTGAATAAAAATTAAAACCAACCATACTGTAAAATATGGTTATGTGGGTTTTTTTATTTTTACATAGCAACTCAGGTTAAAATAATCCAAGTTGCATACTAATGTCAAACTCCTAGAGATACTCCATTGCTGGTCATTCTATTCACAGACATACATTATTCTAGTTTATTGAATGGTTGTTGTCTTTATTCAAGTTTTGAGAAAATTTAGCTCAGTGTTCTGCTTCTACATTTGGTTGGTTTCTATTTTAAACAACCAGTCTCATTTTTTATTTAACTTCACCTTTACTAATTAGTTTGCTTGTCAGATGTTGACTAATTATCTGGCTGTTTCTAGTATGGTCTTCTCTAGATTGTTTCCGTTTTTAGCTTTATTGATATCTAGCATTTATTTTTCTTTCCATGTACTATTTAAAATGCAATATGTAGGCCTACTTAAACTTTGAATGTAACATACACATATTCATATTTAAAATGTATGTTCCAAAAGAAATAGCAAAGATAAATTTCAAGGTCGTGTAAGTTTATCACACATTTTTAAAATTTGGACAATATCAATGCTTTTATTTACAAACTGGTACATCATTCTTTTATTATTATACAAAAACTAATGATATTATTTAAGGATTTTTGTATATGTAAGCTGCTATTTTGATGATGGAAACTACAATTAAATGCAGTAAACATGAATTACGTATTTTTTAATACCACTTAAACACTAACCTGTGATACATTCTACCCTTCCACCATTTTTGTTAAATAAAGAGTTGAATCAAATTTTAATTGGATAAGTGTATAACTATGTTCCTATAAGTAATAACAAGCATCCCTCATGAAAGCTTTTTACAGCATTGCTTTGGGAAGTGGCAGTCTGTCCTAAAATATTATGGTGGTTAAGACTTTTTTTATATGGGGGGGGGGGGGGGTGATGGCTTGAAGTATGGCTTATTATGTTATAGAATTAAAGCTTATCTGATGTAAATTTGTTCTTGATTATTTTACGTGCACTCATCACTTTTTATTTAAAAGTAGATGTTAATTATTATAGGGTACCTGAACCAATCCGAGGTGGTGTATTTTATTTCATTTAGTTTTATTTAGGATTTAAAATTTTAAAGTTTGATTAAAATAGTTTAAGCCTAACTCACACAACTATACATTTCTTTAAACTCCAACAAATCACTAAACATGTTCAGTAAACATAACCCTTACACAAATAAAAAAGAAACACTGACTTGAAAACCACAAATGACTTTATTGTTTTTGTAAGCATTAGTGGTTAGAACTTGACTCAAGTTTTTGATGAATTAAAAATTGGTGGTTGTCTTCTTAGTTAAGTTACAAAATTGTAAATTGATTGAACAAAGCATTCATTACTGCACCATTGCCATCAAAACCCCAGCAACATCAAGTAAAAAAAAAACTGTCAATATAAGTGGAATCATTTCAAATCCTTGTGCCTTTGCCACTTTTTGTACAAAATTGCTGAGTTATCTTTAAAGACTAAAATCATTCATAATCATTAAAAATACACACCATTCTACATTTTCTACATTTATAACCCAAGCTATAAAATACATTGTTCTTTTAAAGACTGAGTTATCAAGTCTGTGAGTATAAAATCTATCAAGCCCAAGGAATTGGAGCAGCCAGGCGGGGAAAAACTAGTTTGCCATTCACACAACAAATTCTTCAGATCTGTTCTAGAACCATACCGTTATGTGAGATAAGAAACTATTTTGGTGAAACCACCTGACCAAGGTCTTAAACCATTTCTTATGTCACCAATAGGGCAATGAGCACAAGGACTTTCGAAAAAGAGTGTAATATTAAATACAGTAACAACAAATGGGGTATAGAATGAATACCCATAAACGCACAAAACAAAAAACAACACAACTAAAATATAACTTTAAGCCTGAAATGAATAAGAAAAATCACAGACTTTAAAATGATCTCCTGGCTATCCATTGCCTTAGGGTCAAATATTTAAAAAAAAAAAAACAATACATCTAATTGGTACAATTGTGCTTATATATCAAAAACACTATGTCTAAATTTAATTTCAAACTAAAAAACATAATAGAAAAAGAATCTTTTTTTTTATATTGCTTCAACATTTTGTGACATAAAACACAAACACAGATTATTAGTTATGTGACATCAAATGTATACATGAAGTAATACATGTTAAATGAAGTTAAGAAAATAGCTTTCTTCATTATTAAGTACAATACTACTTCATGCATGTCAGTGAAAAAATATACATCATGTCATATACAGATGAAGTTTCTTCAGCATAGATTACAGTTGTCTATATGCAAAGGCACATGATTGGGAGATTGGCTGCTCAAAGTGACAAAGCAATTAAGATTGCAGTGCATTTCATACTGGAGCTCATTTCTGATCCTACACTTAATTCCTATCAAAATAAATAGTCACATATTTACAAATGATAATTTTTTAAAACCTAGTTTTGCTTTAAACAAAATTCTGAGCCCTTTTTCATGCGCCTCTGCATCAAATAGAATATTCTGATGTGCACTGCAAAAAGTTTACAAATGACAAATTGATAATTATTTAACTTGCCATGAAAGACTTTTGGGCGCAGAGCTCTTGAGTAACTACTTTTAATCAAACCAAAAATATTGATGATTATGTTCCAATACAAGTGGTTAACACTGCAATTTACATATTATGACCATTCTTCTGTCTACAATGTAACAATTAAGTTTTTTTTTTCATTTTCTTAAAATAAAATTGTAGATAAGAATTCAGTTATTCATTAAAAGAAAATCCAGCCATAACTATTTCAAATATTTACCAATAGCTATGTCAGAAATTAAAGAAAAATATCTTAGAACAATGCCTTTAACATTGCTGAAAAGCTTATTCACACCTGTACTCTCCCATCAATAACTAAGCATTTTTGCTTCTCGAACTGTTAATTACACAAAAATGATATAAATGATTAATTCATTGTGCCTAACAAATGGAAAAAGGCATTATTGAAACACAAAGAAAACAAAAATCAAACAGCTGATGACAAAATTCTAAGAATTACTATATAACACAAAGGCAGAAAAATTATTGAACAAAAGCAGGAATATTGGCAAACAGAATGGTGCAGTAATATTAGCAATAAATTGTTTTTCAATTCAACAGACATGAAGTCTACCACAGCTATTTTTCTCAACTGTAAAACCAAGAAATCTGGAGAAAATAGAGGGCCTGAAAGGAATCAGCATGAAACTTCCATACATGTTCTTGCATGACCAAAAATATGAACAATAAAAACAAAAACATATTAAACTTTAATCTGAGAATGTAGAAAAATGTAAACAAGTAGCTTTCCATTCTCGAAGATAAAATTTTAAATACATAAATAATGAATAATGACTGAATTTTAGTAATTCTTGACATCATTATTCTGTTGGTAAATGCCTTCAGGTTTTTCCCTGATTTTAATTTAAAATTTATAATGATTGTGAAAAAAACAGCTGTTATCACAAGGGAGGAAAATTGCACAGACACATAAAAGTCAAAGTAAAACTGAAGCAAGGCACGGGCATCTATCAAATGATTTTTTAAAGTTTTCACTGCCCCTTATGATATTTAGTGGAGTTTCCTATTACCCAAACTACTACGTAAACCGAGTGGTGTGTGGAGTATGAGATGAGGCATTAAAACTGTAGGTAAGAATACAATTTGTACTTGTAAAAAAAAAAGTTAACTTTTGCATAGATTCAGTTCATCATCAGTGTAAAGGAAATGAGAAAAAAGTTTTTCCCCCTTTAAATGATACTGGTGTCTAGCTGCTTCATGTCTTTTGTCAGTTCCCTAAGAAAACAATTTTGTGGTTTAACAAGGGGACAGACTTTTCATCAGACTACATTTTTTTTCCATTTTGGTATACAAAGAAAATATACCACCAACATTATGATGTCATGATTCATGACACTAATAGTTTTAAAATTCCAAAAGTTTGAAAAGCTTGATAATAAACTTAACTTAAAAAAGATATTTCAATATTCATGAAACTGCAGGCTTCCATGGAGTTCTAGGCTGAAATCCTTTAGTGTTGTCAGGCCCTCTAGGGTTGCGAACAATAATTACTTTGTAGCTGCTGTTATCTTCAGTTATGCTTTTTAGGCGACTCAGCAGACGCTCTGGTCTGCGGGTATCACTAAAATATTATTTAAATAATATTATATTATTTTATAAGAATGGGAAAAGTTAATCAATAAAGTATTTAACTTAATACAAATTTTCACACAAAGAAACAGGCTAATAAAAACATACAAGTACTCCTGATTCAAAGATTTGTATAGTAACTTACGTAATTTTGCGTAGACTACAAGCAGAGTATTTTCCATTTCTTTGATTTTGTACCAGTACAAACTCAACTTCATCTCCAGGTTGAATGACAGCACCATCATGAACTTCTGTCATATGGAAGAACAATTTCTTGCCTTCTTCTGCTGCTTCAAAGTTGATGAATCCATACTATATTTTAAAACATCAAAATTGCACAATGAATATCTTGATTTCAAGAGGAAAATGAACAAAAATCATCTTTAAAAAAGTTGGAAATAATTTGGAGATGTTTCCCAATGTTTTTTGCAGCACTACATTAATATATCAAAATAAAGGACTGGTGAACTGTTTAAGGTTTAAAATATTATTAAAAATATAGCTATAAAGATGTTTCTGTTACATTAAATTAACATTAAAAATCCTTTTCAAATGAAATCGATTATTAATTTTACAAATTTTTATTTAAAAAATTGTAAAAATACTTTTTTTCCAAGCATTGAACTGCAATATTTATTTAACTGAAATTGTGTTATGATTTCTGAGAGTCCAAGAGGTCTTATCAATGTGTTAAGTGATATAGCATTTCTACCCCTCAACAATTTCAGCCTCTTGACCATTTGGATGAGCAAAACAAAATGTGTCTTAACTTTGGAAGATGGACATTGTAGCCTATGTAGATTTTTTTTAAATTTTCTTGACTGAAAAGAATTTAAACTGAAAAATTCATAAGTCACATTCCTGTTTTTAAACAAGTGAATACAGGCATTAAAACCAAAACCTTCATACCTGGCCTTTCACAGAATCAACCTTGGCTCTAATGAACTTGCGCAGTGCTCCAATGTTTATGGCTCGAAGACTGCCATCTTTTTTTGTGCGAGCTACTTGAAATCTAACCACATCATCTTTTTGAAGAAAATCTCTTTTATCAGCAAGGCTAGTTATTCCATATGGATAAGGCTCATCTATGTCATTGCCATCTGTTGGAATTTTAGTAAAACTTAGGTTAATTTTATAACAAAACGACTTAAGCTTTTGTCAAATGATTAAGAGCATGCAATCAATGATTTGAGAAATACAGTTTATAATGAGCTAAATAGTTAAAAATAACATGAAACAAACAAATTACTTAATAAATATAAAAAAAAAAGTATTAAAAGAATACTAGCCATCATCCATTGCCTGCACAAGTCCACAATACTCTTCTTGTTCAGTGTTCACAATTCTCATGGGACGGATTATTCTGCCCTGTAGCGTGCCCTTTTCACGGACAGTCTCCTACAATTATTTAAGTATTAACCATTGATCAAATATATATTAAATAATTGTCAACTTGCAACTAAATTTTTAAACACTAATTCTTACATCAGGTGGAATGGTGCCTTTGTTGAGCTTGCGGATATTTTCAGCACTGACTTTACTGCTTTTTCTGGCAAGTGTATATTCCATCTCATCTCCAAGTTCTAACTCATTTGTATCACCATTAAAAGAACTATTTAAAAAAAAATAGGTAACATGCATATAAAAATTTATCTTTGTTTTTAAAAATGTGCAATAACAATGCATTTTACAATAAATTTTAGCTAATTGACAAGAAAATCTTATTAGTTTTCTAGAAAATAGTAAATATGTACCTAAAATGGAAGAAAACTTCTTTTTCATGATCTGCAGTTTCAATGAAGCCATAATTTTCTTTCAGGGTGGCAACAAACCCATGGCAGCGACCAGCAATATTCCTCAAGACTACACGAACCTTAACAGCCTGTTTTTTGCCAGTTGATTTTAATTCTCCAATTTGAAAGTCAACCTGATTGTATTTTTTCAAAAAGAAATTATATTCACAACTGAAATGTACCGTAATCAATTTAGTGTTCTGCATTATTTTTTATTAAGCAGTATAAGCCCATACCTTGTCACCAAAATGGGGTAGGTTATTCTGATCAGTCACATCTTTAAAGAAGTAAGGAATCTGCTGGATAACTCCTTCATAATCATAGATTATATTCCCTGGTTCACCTTCCTTGTTTTTACCTGCATATATAATCCCATTTAAATTAGGATAAATAAATTACCTATAAATAGAAATAAGTTTATCTTAAAAAATCTCATTTAAAAAATAACCTTGGTTTTTATGTGTTGAAGGTTCTTTGTCAATAGTCCCAATATAGACACCAGCTAAAACATTTATGAAAGACACAGATCCTTTTGACAAATGTCTTATTCGTGTGGCTACTTGGCGAGTCGGTTGTGATGCATCCTTCAAAAGAAAGGGAATTGAACATTTGGCTTTGTTTTTCTTACATAAGAAATGGACAAAGCATATTGGAAATATCCAAAATCTCAATTTAAAAAAAAATTTTAATATGTATAGAAATTAGATTTTTTCTATACTAGAGTAACAAATTTTACCTGATCCACAGTAAACTGTAATTCATCCTGGAGACGAGGACTATAAGTAAGGTCCATAAATTCACTAAAGTGAAAGAACATACGTGCATCACGTTCAGCACAATAAATAAAGCCATACCCATCCTTCAATGCAGCAATTACACCCTAAGAACAGAAAAAAAATATTACTTTAATCACCAATATTTTAAAATCATCAACACTTTCAGTTCTATCTAAAACAGTCTGTGTGGGTTCAAATAATCTTGAACTCACAGTTTCTCTGATTTCCCCTGAGTACTCGAAAGTTTCATCTAACAAAGCTATGTTCGTAGCTCTCTGAAGCTTGTCTCTCCTGTCTGTTGCTATCTGGAATTCTACTGTGTCTCCTTGCTGTAGAGTGCACTCTCCTCTTTGATCTTTCTCACCAAAGGGGATTTCTATCAGTCTAAACAATAAATTTATATTAAAATTAAATTTCAATCAACTTTTAATAGCTCATGGTCAGCATTCTGTAATCATATTAAGTAGCTTACCCTTTGGGGGTTTCATACATAATTCTTCCAGCTAAGGCCTCACTGGGTCGTCTGTTGGTAGATTTTATCATTTTAAGTATTTTTCCTTTGACCATTTCAACAGCAATATCTTCAAAGATTACAGTACCTTCTGGCAAACATTCTATTTCAACTGCCACTTCCTTATTCTGTTAAACACAAGGATAATTTAAATGTAATTAACTTGTACATTTTAATACTCACATTTTACGCGGTATTTGTGAACATAAAAAAACTCAAGATAAGTTCGTTAAACCTTCTACTTACATTTCTGATCTGTACACCAAAGGAAACATCATCACCCAAAATAAGCTCAGAAATGTCTCCTTTAAACTCACTGTAGTGAAAGAAAATCTCTTTCACAATGTCAGCACGCTCTATGAAGCCAAAGGTATCCTTCATGGAGCACACAACACCAACATAACGCTGTGTAGCTGACTCCAATGATTCAACATTTCGAGCACGAATTTTACCATCTCTATTAAAGTTTATGCAAGGAAAACATAAATAATGAGTGCATAATATAGGAAATGAGCAAGTTTAAAATACAGAAAATAAAAAACAATAAATTATTAGATGAGAGGCAATTAACAAACCGTTTGTCTGTGGCTATTTGAAACAAAACATCTTCCCCAGCTTTTGGAGTTGTGGAGTTGGCCACAACATCATCTAGACCATACGGCAAAAAGAAACATTCACCATTATGGACATAGGTAACTCTGCCTAGTCCATCTTGTGTGCCAGGTACTGTGCCCTAAATGTATACAAAATTTCAAATGTTAAACCAAATTTTAAATGTTAAATCAAATTTCAATTCATTGTAAAACAATAAAAAATATTTAAGCTTTGAATTGTCAAATTAAATCATACTGGTGCTAATAATTTATAAAAAAAAAATAGTTATTAAAATGTTACATTTTTCTGTTTGATCAGTTTTGCTTCCTGAACAATTGTCCCTTGCACTTTCTCATCATTAATTATCTCTGGTGACACCATGGATGGATCCACTTTCACAACAGCCACTGCCACTGGCTTTCCTGTCCTACGATCATAAGACATTTGAAACTCCACTGCCTCTGTTAGTTTTGTTTTGTTTTGGAAAAAAAATTAAAAATTTCCAATGAATAATAGTTATCACATTAAGTGAATATAAATATGGGAAGAGCAAAAACTACCAATGGGGACTTTCTGGAAATAAGCACATTAACGAAATATGTAAAGGTGCTTCAAAATTCTTAAAATAATGTCTTAAATACTATTTAATTGAGATATTTTGCTATGTAATGATGCAGTTATTTTGTGGTGGCATTAATCTGAAATACGACTGACTTCCTAGAAAATGTATACAATGAGTAAAAAAAGAACCTCCAATCTTTAATGCTTCCACATTGCCATTGTACTCAGAATAGTGGAAAAACAGTCTGGCATCTCTGTCACAGCACTGAATAAATCCATAGGAATGCTGCAGAAAATATATTTTGTAATATTTTTAAAAATCATAAAAGCGTATTCTTTCATTGTGTATTCAAAATACAGCATCAAATAATTTGCTTCTCAATTGTAACCAAACTTGTGCTATATAAATTATATAAATGCAAAATGTGTAACTATCATAAAAAACGACAAAGAGACATTGTACTTATTAATCACGCAATATAACTTTAAAATACCTGTTTCTTGTCAATAAGGCCAGTTTCCCTGACTCTGGGAAACCCTGGCGCCGTCTGTGGCAATTCAGCATTAACATTTAAGTTCACAACACTGGGATTTTGATGGATGGATATAATGGCTGGATCTTGAACAGGCGGCTGGAATTTCTACAAAAAAATATTTATTTTTAAAATTAATTATATAATGATGCATTAAATTTTGTATTGAAACCTAAATGACTTTGAACTAACACTTAAAACTTTTTTAAAATTAAGCAAATTACAAACCTTCCACTGAGGACTTGGTTTCTTCACAGACATTGAAAATAGTGTAGCAGCAGTGGTGATATTATAAAACAAATTCCTTAGAAATTCTTTTTTTTTTTCTTGCAAATGTTTTTAAGACAACTCTTTACATTAGTATTACATCATCATTCAAGATATGCTTAAAACTTTGTTAATTTGGTTACTACTGTCCTCAGATATACAGTGTGTGCTAAGCTCTTAGTGGATGGGCACAAGTTTATTTCTGTTTCTGTTTAGAGTTTGCTTGATCAAAGGTGAATTACGTATTTTGAAGTAGCACTGAATAAACTTAACCGAAAGACTTGGAAAATTTAAATAGTGTGCTGCAGAAAAAAGTAATTTGAAATTAAAATATTGAAAAATGCATTTATTAAAGTGTTATGATTAATCATGACAACACTAATAACTAATGAAGAAGAATTTGGACAATGCATAAGACATCTCAAGGGCCTGTGATTAAGACCACAAAATGTAGACCACTTTAGACTTTATGTGTTTAATGCAGTAATCAAATTACATAGGGCCCTAAAAATAAATAGGGCCTACAATTTATATTATTAATTACATCCATTGTGAAAAGCTAACTTCTTAGCTGTCTCTGGTGGAACCACTTAGACCTAAATACAAAGTGTAACTTCTGGTGGGGGGAAATGAGTGCCTAATTACTATTTTGAACATATGCCTAATATTTTAAATGTAAGCATAGCACCCTATGCAACTGGTGGAATATTTTTCAATCAATTCAGCCACTGATAAAAATATGACCTTGTGTCTTATGTCCATCATGACCAGTTCTAGCACTCAAGCCCTCCTGTGCTTAGTTATACCAAATTCCTCTTGATCTCTGGGCTAGGCAGTTAACCAGTTAGATCTACATATAATTAAGTTAGGCCTAACAAATTAAAATTTAATAGTTCCAATAGGTACAGTTAGACTAGTTGAGGTAGGAAGAATGTTAGGAAAATATTGTGGTTGTTGGTAGGGGAAGAAGTACCTTAATAGCTTCTGTAGTACCTTAATAATAGCTTCTGTACACCACACTCACTCTATCTACAAACTTACTAATGTTAAGTTGTTAACAATTAAAAAGTGAACAGAAATTAATTAGGCCCTATGCCCTATGTGTTGAACTTGAAAGGATAATTCACAAAAAGATACATCTCAGATAGAATCTAGATCTAGAATATTTCTAGATCTAGATTTGTTAGAATCTAGAATATAATCTAGATTCATCCAGAAAATAATTTCACTTTTGTTGTTGGCCTACAGTTAGTATTAAAAGTCTGAAGTACTAGTCCAGTTCTAGATCTGTCGAGTATAATATAAAGATCTAGAATCTATCTAGATCTAGATTCTAGATCTAGCTCAGTAGATTACCCACTACCAGAATGAGAATGAAGAACTTGAAGAAGGGTCGACCACTCGAACAAAAAAAGCAAAAGTAGACTATTCCTGGCGTAAGTAAAATTTCACAAATAGTGATTGATTTGTCAAATCTCTAAAATGTCATACTTGAAATATAAAGTTAAATTTAAATGAAAACATTTGAAATGCAATAACTATTAAATTGTGTATATTAAAACATAATGGTTTTATCACAAAACTTAGTTATTACCCCACACAGCACATCACTGCAGGGATGCCGCCATCTTAGATATCGATTTTGTTTGCCAGATTATTTAAAGCCTCATGATTAGGGCCTACTTTTTTTTTATAAGTTCAAATAATTAGGCCTTTAAAAGTTTTTTTGAAGTATCATTTATGTTTTTATCTAGAAAAAAAAACTTATTTAAATTTTCCGAATATTATCATTTGTTGTTTTTAATCTTAAAGAAATCAAAATATATAGACTAGTAGTAGGTCTAATATACGCCAATTCTGTAGGCCTAAATAGTTTGCTTGATTAAAAGCGCAGAAAATTGATTAATTTAATTAATTTTGGGAAAAACGCTAACCTATCGAAATCTGCAACTCTTTGAAAGCTTATAATATAGATCTAAATCTACATGCAAACAAGAATACGATTGAAATGTAATCCTAAAATTTGAGGTGTTTAAAAAAAAAGTGCCATTTAACCTGTCTTTAGTTTACATTTATATTGTGAAAAATCTTATTTTAAATAGACCTAGATAGGCCTAGATTTAGATTCTAGGTGTAATTGTGTTAGATGAGTGGTGATTTTGGGAAAGTATGTTGCAAACATAAATATTTCTAATAAGTGGATGCGATTTGGCCAAGTATTAAGATTAAGAAAGCCAGTTAGGCTAACTGCTAAAAGAGTTCTTATAACATTAAATGACGTCATCGATGTGTATACGGAAGTCAATAAAATGACAAAAACATTGAAATCTAAAAATACATCAATGAGTAAAGACAGAGTGTGTCATACTTTACAGTACGTTTTCTAGTCATGTGAGAATTATTTACTACAGTTGTAAGCTAGATCTACATCATTCTAATGTAACTATTTTGAAAATCAGTAGGTTTTACAATATAAGTTTTCATAAGTTAATCTAATCTAGAATCTAACTAACTAAAGAGAGGAGAGATTCTCCATCAGATCACTGATCCAGGACTTGAGGCGAGGTAGTCAGCAGATTTAGTTTTCAAATTAAATAAATAAACATTACAAGAGTACATTCATAGTGCTGACCACACTATCTCTTCATAAGCCGAGGTCACAGAAACAAGTGAACTCTACTTCACTTGCCCCATTGACCGTAAGGTTTACTTACAACAAGAGTACATGTACACAAGATTAACTGAAAGCAGAGTTTAGCTTAGTAGTAGATCTAGAGAGACTATTCAAGAGACTAGTTAAGTAAGTATTAGTATTAGATTTAGCCAGTAAGTTAAAGACTAAAAGAGTCACAGTCAAATTATACTTGTACAAGACACACTCAAAGTACGAAGTAGAGTTTAGTTTAGTAGTAGATCTAGATCTTGCTAGAGACTATTCAAGAGACTAGTTAAGTAAGTAAGTATTAGATCTAGATTTGATTTAGCCAGTAAGTTAAAGAGTCACTGTCAAACTATAGATTAACTACTAGCTAGTCTATTACTACTAATACTTCTACTAACTAAAGGGCACAGTGGCTGCTATCCACTATTATTGGGAACTGGGTCCTTGCCTATACGACTTATAGCCTTGTCCACTATTCGGACCAACCAATTATTAAGATTTAGTTAAACAATAATGCTTTTAAGATGCAGAATAGGCCTATATCTTTTCTGTTGTGATTTTTTTCTTGTAATTCTAAGAAGTATCTTGAGATCTTGCTTTAAATACCCGACAAATGTTACGGCGAGCTGGAGTCGTTAGGTCTATAACATATGGCCTATGGCATGAACTTCTCTGACCGAGTGAATGTTGAGCACGCATGTAAAAATGTGCTTTATTTTATTTTCTTCTGTTAAACGTAATTTCATGTTTTTTTTTAAATTTTGTTTTATATGCCTATCAGTCCAAATACAAAAAAAAAAAAAAATAATTGTATAAAATAGCTCAATATAGGCTACAGTCTACAGCTCCCTGGCCCATTTTCTCAAACTATAACTAAGACTGCTAACCCCTCACTCTCTTGTGATAGTTTTAAAGTGTGCACAGTTAATAGTTAAGATGTCCACACCCCCGCCCCGCCTCATGACGCCTCTGATTAGGGCTACAATTATATTAATTACTATTAATATTACTATTAGTATTATTAAGCCTAGATCTAGTTAGAGCTCCACATTATGTATTTATTATTAGGCCTATGCCCTTTAGGCTATATCTATATATATAATTCTCTTCTTGGATACCCTAGAAAACACCAAGCTGTAAGCGCGCCTAGCAGCACCCTCTCTTCCTCTCTAAGCATATCCCTACCTCCCCCACCCTGACATGGTCTGGTGAGCTGTGGTTCACGCTAAATGTTTACAATCGTAGAGCCGGGTTTAGTGACGGCTATTAGGGGAGATAATTTAGTTTGAAACGATTTTAAACTTAGGGTAGGTAGCTAAGAGGAGGCTGCTTTCATTCATGGGGGGGGGGGGGGATAGGGCAGGGGTTGGGGGAAAGGAATGTTGGGGGGGGGGGGGTATCATCCTTAACGAGCTACTGATAGTGTTTAAATGCAAATATTTTCAGTGGCAGCATTGGTACTGTCGAATTCACAAATTATGAATTACTGAAAAGTAGAAAATAAAGCAACTAAATAGCGGCGTATGATACGCCGCGGGTCGGCTTGTAGTAAATAATATAGATCTAGTAGCTCTAATTCTAATGTAGCCTAAATGTCAATGAAGATCAGAAGGTTTTACATTATTAAGTTTTTAGAATGGTACTAGTCTAAAAAAGATTTCTTGTTAATGTATTAAAAATTAATAATACTAATATTAATAATCTTCGTTAATAAATAAATATATTTACTAAGTTAGTGACTAAGTCTAAATTTTTAAAATTTTAATTAAAGAAACTGCTCCAGAACTGATATTGAAGTTGAGGATCATCTGTGGTACTGCCTAAGTGTACTTACTTGACCAGATTGAATTTGAGGTACAACCAACCTGCATTGCAACTTGAACATTTGGTATTAAACTTTTAATTTTTTTAATGCATTTAATATAAGGCCAACCCTATACAAAATACATTATTCAGCTCTGAGTAGCCCTGATAATTGATATGTTTGTTGGACATTGAGCAATCATTTCATGTGTGAGAATTAATATACTGGACTGTTGAAGACATTTTGCATATTTCAACACATGGAAAAAAATGCTTACGTTTAGCTTCAACAACCTTGCATCAAACAATTACAAAGTATGTGTAAGGTGGGAGTAAAATGCTAGATGCGTATTGGTAAGGTGGTAAATATGCTTGCAAATGAGAGGAAACACAATACAATTATTAACTTGGTTAAAAAAAGGATTCACTCTTTGTTAATTTAAATTAAATAGCTAGATCTAGATAGCTACAGAAATAAGTGTAGTTTAGTAATTGTTAGTTATTAATAATTGATTGATTAATATCAGTAATTTATGATAGGCCCTTAGTTACATATTGTATATAGATATATAGATCTAATATACTCTACTCTTTTCTTTTAAATTTACTTCAACTTTTTTTCAACTAATTAGGTTAATCACAAAACAAGTATGCCTAACAAATTTTTTTTATATTGAATAAAAAAAAAAGTATTTCAAAAACATACCATGGACCACACCCATCCAGTGGTCAGAACTCTTAACCAACCTTTGGTTTGTTTTATATACAGTATTCATGATTCATACATTCAAGTTATCATGATCTTAATTTATCACATCTTCAGTAATAAAGGATAGTTTTTAAATGTATTTTGTAATAGTAGTTTTAATGATAATTCTACCTTTGTTTATGTTAATCATGTAAAAATCTTGAATTTCATCAGTTTAAAAAAAATTCTTCACAGTGAAACAAGGCACAAGAGCTGTATATTTGGAATAGTCTTGCACTAATATATAGGACTAGCCTCTCATCATGGAATTTTTATTTGGCCGTAAGAAGACCCCTGATGAAATGCTACGACAGAATCAAAGAGCTCTTACAAAAGCAATGCGGGATCTTGATAGGGAAAGACAAAAGATGGAGCAACAAGAAAAAAAAGTCATTGCAGATATCAGAAAAATGGCAAAGCAGGGTCAAATGGTAATTAGTTACTTATTAGTTTATATGATGCTGTAGGTTTAATAGCTTACTCTATAAAATGAAAACTAATGTTTTAATTACAACTGTACTACAATGTGCTTCAAAAAATTGTTATTATTGCATCAACTACTTTATAAACAAAAACCTGTATTCAAACTATTTTTACCATATAAATATGATTACAGTAGAAGTACTTTCATAAAAATCCCCAAACGGGCCGCTGTACTAATTCCCCTTTATAAGTTTTGTATCTGGTCAATATTAAAATGCTACTTTACAGTTGTAAGAATACTGACCTTAAAAACCCTTATATAGAGCTAGCACTTATTTGATCATTTTGTTGTAGTTTATCAAGTTATATTTCATTTAAAAAATAGGTTAAGAGTATGTTTTTGTTGTTTAGTAATGTATTTCTTTTAAGACATGCTATTAAAAAATGTTTTATAACAAAACTCAAAGAGCTTAAATAAATAAATAAAATATGTTAGCTAAATTGAACCTTTTTTTTCCCCCAGGATGCAGTTAAAATCATGGCAAAAGATTTAGTTAGAACTCGGCGATATGTGAAGAAATTCATCTCTCTCAGAGCTAACATCCAGGCAGTTTCACTCAAAATTCAAACTTTAAAAGCCAATAACACAATGGCTCAGGCTATGAAAGGAGTAACAAAGGCAATGGCTACCATGAATAAGCAGGTAGGAAACAATTTCACATTTTAAAAATATTTTCCTGCCATAAGTGTTGGCCTACTTAGATAATTATTTTATTACTAGTTGCTTCATTTTACTATAGTAAGTAATTTTTGTATTGCATCAAACATTTAAGAGATAGCCTGAAAAAAATATTTCAGTTTAAATTTGTATAAAATACTTTTTTTTTTCATTAATGTTTGTTAAAGTTTATTGTATCATATTCAAATATGTAAACTGCTAATTTCTTTGCAGAAATAAAAATGTTAATTAAAAAATACACTTTCTAAAACAAAATGCAAATTTTAAACAATAAATAAAAGATTCTGTTTCTTTGGTTTCTTCAAATAAATTGAGTTTTCTGCTTTTTTTTTTACATAGCTCAAATTGCCTCAGATTCAAAAAATTATGATGGAGTTTGAGAAACAATCTGAAATTATGGACATGAAGGAAGAAATGATGAGTGATGCCATAGATGATGCTTTGGGAGATGAAGACGATGAGGAGGAAAGGTATACAGATTTTGTTATGTTGCATGTTGGTTATTTAATGTGTAGCTGGGTACAACCTCATTGAGAGTTAAACTCTGTTTTTGTTAGTTCCATTTATGTAAACTTAATTAGTGTGTGTGTACTGTAATTGTTTAGTGTAAACAAAATGTATAAGCAGACATAAATGTTATTAACTTTGAATCAATCAGAATGATAAAAGCAGTGGTTGTTTGTTTTTTTTTGTTTTTTTTTTTTGTTTTTTTGTTGTTGTAAATCTCCCACTCATTTTCATGCATGGTGTTTCAGTGATGCCATTGTCGCTCAAGTTTTGGATGAGCTGGGATTACAGTTGGCAGATGAAATGTCTGGTAAGATTTTAATTTAGCAGAATTTGTTGTTTCAATCATTATTGTGCAGTAAGATTAAAACTAAAGCCCTTAATTCTTTATTGTTAGTGAAAACTAATATGTTCTGATGCTCAACTGTGCAGTGTACTCCCTCCAATGTTTTTATATCATCTGCTGTTATGATATTCTCATAAACCATTGTGACAATTCACAGCTTTCGTCCTGTTTTAAGCTGTTAAAATGGTTCCCTTAATTGTGAAGCTTAGTTGGGTTTTTTTTATTTGCAATATTCAAAGTAGCTAGCACTAAAATATATGTTGGGCTAGGCTGATGCGTTCACGATATATATTTCCGTTTAACATAGTTTGACAGTTAAGTTTTTTGTGTGGCTTTCTACAGTAAATGACCACAGAAAAATTGTGTTACAGGTTTACCTAGTACAGGAAAAAGTTTGGCATCAGATGCAAGCAAAACACCACAGGCAGCAGCTGTAGCTGATGCAGATGCTGATCTTGAGGCCAGATTGGACAATTTGAGAAGGCAGTAACAGTATCTCATTCTCACTTCACGTCTATATAAATAAGTTTGAGAGAATGTTGTGCAATTGTGTGCCCTCACCACTTGGTGAAATGATTTTTTTAAATCAAATCGAACATGAACTTGTTTTTGTTGTAATATATCTCTAAATAGCCTAAAAAAAATAAAAAAAAGTAATAAATTTTACTTATATATCATTTTCATTTTACATTTGTAAATAAGTATGTTGTTAAGAAACTCCTTTTTACACATATTATGATGTCTGCATTATAATTCCATTAGCTGTAAAGTATATGCTATTGAATAATTTAAAAGTATTGTTTAGATTCAGTTTGACATGTATATTCCTTGGCTACCAAAAATTTAAAGGCTGTGTTCTTTATCGTCTAAATCTTTTATTATGGAAAGTAGAAAACTTGGGTTATTTTTTGTTTCTTGTTTAGATAATCATTTTGCTTAGATTTTTTATTTTTATGCATATCAAGCTACAAAAATGCATTATTTCATCAAGAAACTCTTGACACATTTTTATGGCCAGCAAATTATGGATGTTTATTGTATAGGAATGGACTCTACTTAGATCTTAATATCAAAGCCTGAGACTTCTAAAGCTAACCATTGAAGTAACCGTCACTGTTGTATTTGTTCAACCTTTCAACTGTTGACCTTAACCCATCTATTTTGATTATTTAATGAAGAAAATAAAACGTGAAAAAAAGTATGATGCTGAACATTGTTGTTTTGTTGTGTAATTTGTTTAAAAAAATTAATTTTAGTCAGTATTTGCTAAACCCCTTGGGCAAGCTTTTCAAGTAAAATTTTTTTTTCTTAGCAACTTTTAGTGGTACTAGATTTCATCAGCAAATGATGAAATTTTTAACATCCCATGGTTTTAGGTTCTGATGCTACTTAGCAATACACTTTATTTTCAGTAATAAATAAATAAAAACATTAAAAATCTCTGAAAATGGTTTATTGCACTCAAACAGAGCATTAGAACTTAATATTGATACAAAAAAAACCATCAAAATCCTTACTATACACACAAAAAAATTAGTCCCTATTTTAGAAACAAAAATCTTTACAACACACAAGATTTGAGAGTACGAGAATCCATGTTGCAGTTAGTTGGTTTACACATTTCTCACAAATAAGTCAACAATTCTAAATCATATATACATATGTATATAAAACCACATTTTTTAAACTTGTAAAGATTAGAAGTTAATTAAACCTACCTAGAAGACCTAGCAAGAGAATATTAATTGTTACAGGCATTTTATGGCAAGTTTCTTAAAAAATTATACTATTTAAGTATTTCTAAAAGCAAGAGAATTGTATGCATTAGCATCAATAAAATAATTTACTTTAGACCTCAGACAAAGCTCTTTGGTTTGTGGAGAGTAATTATATGCAATAACAACATCAAATAGCAATAAAACCATAAGATTACTGACAATTATGAATTACATAACATAGGTAACTAGCAAACAACTTCAAGCTTTACAAATACATATCACATGCACAAACTCAACATGTATCATATCACAAATAGGCCTACTCTTAACACAGTTAACAGCAGTTGGTAGCAATATGCTCTACAGCATCATCTTTTCCCTACCGTGCACAGGACACATGGGGCCGCTACTCTACATCACAGTATTTATATGACTGAAGCTCAGAATTCTACAAATTAGATAAAGCTTTTTAATCTGACAAGCATAAATTTTCTTTTTCTTTACCACTAAATATAAGAAAAAAGTAACAGAATACAATCTATTTCTACCATTTTTTTCTTCTTACCAACTAAAACATAACTAATCAATGAAGGTATTTACACATGTGTACATTTTGAAAACAAATTACTACTAAGTAAATTAACACTTGGCATTCTACAGGCTCACGTTTAACTTATTTAAATTATACACATATAAACACTGACTAGCATGACGTATTTACTTTAATTAAACTCAACATTCTAATATTAGCTTGTTACGCGAGGTGGGTATCATGTAACTTCAGGAACTCTCGCAGTTCAGCGGGGGAAATGTTAGGCTTGTTCATCAATGATTCAATTTGCTGGAGCTCCAGTTCTTTGGCCTGTTGAATTTAACATGCATGTACTTTTAATGTCCGTACTATGTTCTTCATTTCGAGAGCCCTAATCTAATTTAGGACCCCTATTTTAAACAAAACTACAATGTGCATAAATATCACTGGAGAACATATTGAGAAGAAATGTTATGACTAACCTTCAGTGTTCTTTGTAAAGAGTGCAACTTTCTTAAACTTTCTACCTCCACAGGACAAACAACAGCTAGGTTGGACAAGGGCATGCACTGACTTTGTCTCTGTTTTATTTTGTCCTTACCATCAATGGTCAGGTCATTGTTCTCAATGGTTCTCAACATGGAATGCAGTTCCTCTGTGCTTGCACCTACTGTTGCTGAAAACGTTTGACAAACATGTATACATACACTAAAGCTCTTGAACTAAATGATCATCTAAAAGAGAAAACAGTACATCTGATATGTCGTGTAACATTTAAGGATCATATGGCCTAGCCTAAGTATGTAACAGATTTACTTTTGATAACTTGAAGATTGTGTCTCTTATGTGCAGGAGACGTCTGAGGAGATATACTGCTACCAGCAGATGAAATGCTAGCCAAAGACTGTAAACTTCCCTGCCAAGAACTTAGATTATCATCATCATCTTCACTTTCACTATAAAATGCACCTGAAATACATTTTAATTTATTAATCACATTATCAAGTGACTATTTTTAAGTATAAAACATATCTCTAGAAAATTGCCAGCCTTAACAAATAATAAAATATATATTCCCTGGTCCGAGCCAAAGTGACATATATATAATAAAACCCTTCAGCAGCAACTATAAGTTCAAGTGTATGAAGAAAACATACTTTTTTGTTCCGTTGGTAAAGGAGTATGGTCTGCTTCATCTTTGGGTAGTTCAGTTTCTTTATAACTGATTGAGGCGAGACCCAATTTGTTCATCCACCTGGCATTAAATGAAGGATAGCATCTTACAGTCATTTAGCTAAATATCTATTTACAATAATAATTTCATTTTTGAAGTCCAGTGAACTTTAAAGACACTTGCTATCTAATGCCAGATAATGTAAAACAGCTTTCTATTTTATTTTATTTTGGGGGTGGGGGTGGATAGAAGAGGAGATATTAGAACATTCTATGATGTTAAGAACGAACATCCTGACTTAAGAAAGTTAAGTACTATAAGCTGAATTGGGCAGGTAATGTTGAAAATATGTCAAAACAAAAGAAGTCCTGGAAAAAAGATATTAATTAACACACTAATATTTTTACCAGTGACTTACTTGCTCATATCATCTTGTCTTTCTGATGCAAAAGAAAAAGTGGTCCCAGTATTGTGAATGTTGAAAGCACTGCAAACAAAAAATAACTTTTGATTTTCATGAACATTTTTAAAGTAATTTTTAGTTATTTTTCATTCAAAGTTACCTAACTTAATATTTTGTCAAAATTAATTTTATTTCAGCAATTGATTTTTTTCTTCTTAACATTTTTATTTGAATAATAAAAAATGCCCTTTGTTAAAAAAACTAATGAGTGATTAGGTGGCAACCCTGAAGGTGAAAAATAACACTGTGCGTATCAAGAAATGAAACAATTCTAAGCAAATCAAAGATGTATTATTTCTTAGTGGATTATTTAATTTAACAAAATGTTGAATATTCAGCATTAAAAAACAATAGATTTGATAGTACTGACAAAAATGTGACATTAACCAACTGAAAATCCAAATAGTTTAAACTGACTTACACAACTTGTAAATAAATATCTAGAGATATCAGAATAAACTTCAAATCCACAAATTAACTTTACGTACATGGCCAAAAATGTAATCTATTTTTTTATTTAATAAAGCCTGATTCACTAAATTATAAATGTTCCTTAAAGGATATTTTATTTATTTTTTTATCTTGATATTAGAAGTATAAAGATAAACAATATGCACTGGAAGTCAATATGTCATTTTTCCTCTTTGACTTACAATTCAGAAATAAAAAAAGAACAAAAGTAAAAAGATGGAAAAAATAACTATAAATATTATAACGCTCACATTTAAAGCATAAGACAATTTATAAAATGAAAAGGAAATTCTCAACCAAAAGTGTGAAATGTAACTAAAGAACTGAACTATGAGTAAGTAGCAAATAAAAACGTAAGTACCAGTCAACCGAAATCTGAAAGTTAAAAGGGTAGGTACTTAATACTATTAATTTTATTGGTTGGTTGATAAATTCTTGTCAGGTTGTAACAAGAAATTACCACACAGATAAGTCAAGTCTATTAATAGTTTACAACATGTTCCTGGGGGAGATTAAAGTTTTTTTTATCAACAAATCAAAAGGTCGCTAAATGTGTCAAAAAGAAACAATAGATGACAACAACTAAAACTTACCTATAAGATCTATGCAAATTAAAAACATTGAGTCATTAGATGAAAATATTAGTTGCTAGTTTCTATTTGCATTTTATTTAGAAAATACTGATACAAAATATTCAGTTTTTTAAACTATTCCATATAATCTGAAATAATGTTAGACAAATAATATTTCTAATCCATCATCATTCTAGAAATATAAAAGCCACATTTTAGAAACCCAAGCATTCATTAAAATACAAGAAAAATTATAGACATGCTGTTGGCTGATGCTACAAGCAAATCCTAACAAACAGTAACATCTGGGCATAAATTATTCATGCAATGGCCAACAACCTTAAAATTTTCTATCATAAATAGCATACAATATTTGAATCTATAAAAAATGTAAACAATAGGTCATTAGGTTTAGTACAGTAAAGACAAATTTAGTGAATTATTCCATTAATTAAATTTAGCTAGCTTCTGGGAATTAATGGAAAACAGTGATATACTTACAATTTCTTCGTCTTCAAATTGTTTGCAGGAGACACTTGAAAAGCAGGGAGGTGGATAACACCTTCTGCTTT